TCGGTGTAGTGAGAACCGAGACACCTGATTATCTCTATCGCAAACTTCGTTGGTCTCAAAACTGTTTTAAATAGGTACAAGGTTCGGGTTATCGTTCCTGCTCACCGCACAGCAGCTTTCAGAAGAAGTTTCAGGTTTGCGTCATCCAAGTGCTGGAATGATCTACCCCCTCCTCTTCATGACACTTCTAGTAGGAATGTTTTTAAGCGCAAGCTTAAGGCTCTCCTGCTGGAAAATCAAAAGGGATTGTGTTAACTTTTTCCAGCACCTATTTATTTATACTTTTTATACACATTTGTTATATAATATATTAGTTGCTTGATGTAGGTATAGTGTATACTATTAATTATTATAATGTATTTTCATAGTTATACATAAATTATTTGGAAGTATTTAAACATACACAACACACACACCCACACTCACACACACACATCTGTTACAGTTTTAATATGTACGTATATATATTATTTTACTGTTATATTAAAGTACCAAAGTATGCTTGCATAAGTTGTTTCGTGACCTCACTTAGGGTCTTAACTGAAAATCAGTGCTGGGAACGCGTTGCGTTTTCCAGCAAATACTGAGTTTGTGACCCTTTTGTTACCGCGGCTGGCACCACACAAGGTATCTCAATATTTAGTCTTCTTTTTATTATTTGTGTGAATAGTTCATGTTTTAATTTTATCTAATTTATGTAATTACATTTTTATTTTGTGTTTGTTTGTGTTTTTGTTTCGTAATTATACATATATTTGTTTTACGTTGAATGTTTTGATCGTGTTTTGTTTTAGTTCTGTTTTGTTCCGTTTTCTCTTTTTTTTGTCTTTTGTCTTTTGTGGTGTCATTGTGGTAAACAAATAAATGTATTTTCTTTCTTTCTTTCTTTCTTCTTTCTTTCTTTTTCTTTTGAGCTCGAAAAACTTGTATTATGTTGCTACTATTACCCTAAAATAAGATACCATATCTGAGTGTTGCAGCTACATAGCTGTGGTAAACTACACGTAAAGCGTTTTTGTTTACCACCTTAGACAATTTAAAGAGAGCGTGTGATTGTTTCGATAGCTTGTTACATATTATTTGAAGTTGTTCCTCCCATTGCATTTTCCTATTAATGTGAAGTCCAAGGAATGTGGTTCCCGATGATTTACCGATAACACGGGAGTTATAAATTAATTTGTTTGTCAAAGAGTTATTGCCCCTTTGCTTGAAATTCATAATTGTAGTTTTGTCAAGATTTAGTAATAAATTATTTATTTTAAGCCATATTCATTATATTTGTTAGGGATTCTTTTATTTCAGTCTCATTTTCAAATAAAATACATACAGTCATCAGCGAATAAAGTTATGTGATTTGGAATTGATTTAGGCATGTCATTAATATTAATAATAAACAGCAATGGACCTAGAACACTACCTTGTGGAACCCCATATTTTACTAGACTAGGAGAAGATTCGTAAATAGTTTCTGTTTTTGTAGTTAAAGAAATTCGACTGATTTGTGTTCTGTTACTCAGATATGATTTTAATAAGTTTTGAGTATTTCCGCGTGTACCATAAATTCCTCATTTTTGCATTAATATATCACGATCCACATAGTCAAAAGCTTTTGACATGTCCATGTACAGTGCCATTACAGGTTTTCTTTTGTCCATTCTACTGTAAATAATGTTAAAAAATTCGTATATTGCGAGATCAATAGATTTATTCTTACGAAATCTTTTTTGTTTGTTACAAAAAATATTATTTGTTTCAAGGTAGTCATAAGAACTTTTAGAAATAACCTTTTCAATAATCTTTGAGAATACAGGTGTTAACACTACAGGTCTATAGTTTTTCATTTTATAAGGTTCGCCTTTTTTAAGAATTGGTATAATAATGGTTGTTTCTAGTTTAGATAGAAATACCCCTTGTTCTGTGCTTAAGTTAATAAAGTGACTTAAAATAGGTGAAATTAATTCAGATACAAATTTAATTATCTTTGTACTTAACCCATCATATCCTGTACTGTTTGTGCTCTTAAGGTCTCTTATAATTTTACTGACCTCTTCCGTGCTAACAGGTCTTAAAAAAATTATTTGTATCCATCATATTTACAAAGTTTTACACTGTCGTGTGAGCAACAATTCACTGGTTGTACCTGATCTATAAAATAATCATTGAAATTTTGAGCAATCTGAGTAGGGTTTGTAATATTTGTTTCATTTACAGTTATATTCGTAATGTTATCCTTTGGCATCTGCTGGTTAGTACTATTAATAACGGTCCATGTTGCCTTTGATTTATTTTTAGAATTAAGTATATAATAGTTATTTTGAGATGCTTGCGTTAACTTTAAAATTCTTCATCACTCAAGCTTATTGAAATATGTAAATGGATAAAGAAAGCGCCCATTTACAAACACTTAGAACATCATAAATGTACGTCGGACGAAATGAAAAAGGCTTACAAAAGTCAGCTGCTTATAATTGCAATGATAAAGAGCCATTGCCGACTGTGTCATTGCCGGGAAATACCGCCTCTCTCATTTAAAAATTCAAAATTAATCTTGTAGGCCTTGGGACAGGCGAGAGTCTAAAATACATATAAAAATAATAATAACAAACTCAACATAACCCCGCACTAGGGAACCCCTGTATCGCGGGTGCCATGGACACACGCATAGACAACTTGAAATTATAACTAAACTCACAAAAAAAAATGTAAGCCATACAAATGTTTCTTTCGGCTCGGGAGTCGACCCCGGGCACTGCGTAGCAGGCCAGCATGGTGACCGTACAGCCACAGAGGCAGTTACTTAAAGTTTGGTTCGAAGGTTGCACGATCTTGTGGCAAGCATTTATAGACTAGAAGACTTGCTTGAAATACTTTCATGACATTGTTGTTCAACACCCAAACATACATACCGACACCGGAAAGCGATCTTGTCGTATCTCGAAAAATAGGACTTTACACCAGGGCTGAAAAACTATTTTTTTTAAATTTTTTCTCTCTTATCCTCTCTGTTGAGTTGGCCATCCATAAGAACCGGAAATAGGTCTGTCTCGGATCCGCGAACGAAGCAAATTTATTTATTTATAAAAACACTTAAGGTTTAACCTAATGCGACAGTAAAGCAACAAATCATTATTACTAAAAGAGTTAAAGATAATAATTTTTTGAAATAGTTTTTCGGCCCTGGTGTAGTCCTATTTTTCGAGATATAACAAGATCGCTTTCCGGCGTAACGTTCGCACATACACTTCACACTTTTCGATTTGTTTACTGTTGATTCATATACCTGTGTCTTTACCATAGATTACAGTGACAGTTATCGCTAGCGACCGCGTAAAATGCTTGTATATAAAATGTTGTTTCTTCTTGTGACCGCTAGGGATGCTGTATATTTTCAATTGGGAAGTATTTTACGCGATCGCTAGCGACAACTGTCACAGTTAACTCGTAGTAGATGCACTGGCCCTGTTCTGTTGGCATTTATTCGACACGAATTTCATCGCTCTCAAGCCGCGTGGCCGCCGCGCGGTCATCGAGCGGAGTCATGGCAAAATAGACTTGATTTGTTTGATTGACACGCGGGCGAGACTGGTTTGAATTTGGTCTACACGGCGGCCCGCGCGGCCGCTGCAATAATAATAACAACGCACACACTCAACATAGCCCCGCACTAGGTAAACCCTGTATCGCGGGTGCCATGGACACACACATAGACAACCACAAATTACACTCAATATCACGAGAGAAATAAATGTAGGCGATACAAATATTTCTCCCGGCTCGGGAATCGAACTTGGGACCTCTGCGTGGCAGTCGCCGCAATGGTAACCGTTCGGCCACGGAGGCAATTAAACGACGCGTGATGCGAATGAAGCTTCATAGTTGATATTGTTTTTTAATTTGGTCGAGTACTGCTTATTTGAAAGTAATTATTCGGACGGGGCGTCCATTGAAACCGATTTCGAAGACGGAAGATGAGTTGAAAACGTATCACGTGCGTGTGTCGAAGTGCCAATGGCATGAAATTGTTTTAATATCAAACTATGACTTCAATACTTTAACATATAGGTAAGATACTTTGATATGATTAGATAGTCTACTTCATCGTCTTGTATTGCAATAAACTATATGCTATGTAAATTGTAAATAATAGACGAAAAAGGCGCCATAGCATAGATGAAATTAGCATATACCTACTTTAAATGTGTTTTTGGTTGCTAGCGCCATCTTCAGGAATATTCATTACCATTGAAGCACATCAAGTTCCCCTCATTTCGCGATCGACACCCCGTCTACCTTTTTGTTAGCATATTTTTAAAATTTTTATATGTGTAGTGCTAGGTGGCGCTGTTTGTTATATTATAGTTAACGGAAATTTTCAAATACCGAAATGAATATGAAAACCACCTTGAATTTTATTTATTAACATAAATTCATAAATGCATAGTTACAATGACATGTTGCAAAAGATACTTTACTTGAAAGGAAATGCAGTTCCGCTTTTAAATTTTTATAATAGTCATTTAAAAAAGTTTTATACGTATTTGTTCTTTGTAATTTTCATGCGCTCTTTACGGATGCAGAGCATTGGGTAATAAGTGAAATGAATATACAGCCGGAGCATCGCATCGCTATCTCTAGACATGTTTGTTTTGACGTTCTTCAAAGGAATTCTCGGTCGTCGCCCTAGCAAATAGTATTTCTGTCCGACTGTGCGTACAAATTTAGAACAAAGTGCCCACATAAGTACAATAGGTAACGGCATGTTTCTTTGTGTGGCACTGATTTCAGGGCAACAGTCACTCGATCACAGAGAATTAGGGAATTGTATTTATGGAGGCAGTCACATAACACTCGGGTGAGAGAATGTAATAAATTGGAGTGCGTGACGCGAAATATAGCTGCATCGACCATCGGGTATACCTACGCGTACGGGCGACGACCGAACGCCCTTCCGAGCGAAGTTAGCTGCGAGTGGGGCCGACCGCCGAGCGGGGCGCGCGCCCTACGCCGTGAACGGAGCGCCAAGCGGCAGTCCGTCAGTTTACTACCGTCGCAAATCGACGCCGCATGTCGTTTCTCGTGTTATTGTGGCCGTGTGTATGGTGCTAGTGGAATAACATAACAGCAAATTGTTTTGTGCTGTGTTATTGTAGTGGTAGTGTTACACTGTTGGTGCGACAGGTCCAGTTCACATTTGTTGTGATGCATTTGAGGATATACCTATGGCTGTCTTGTGTAGTCCTCGCAGGATACGTTCGAGCGACAGAGGTAAGGGGACCGTCTTAAATGCGACTCTCACCGGGTTTTTGTTAGGGATTGTGCTTACAGAAACCGGTTGACGGTGTCTAGACTAGACGGCAAGAAATGCATGCTACTTGCGTAACTTTCAATGTCAACATGGAATGACATTAGCAAGTTAGTTACTTGTTGTGTTATAGTTTGCGTAGTTTGAATGAGTGGTTTGTTGTGCCTCACCTTGAATGTGCAGTAGTCTGCAGGTAAACATTCGTTTATAGTATGCCCATTGATCGGGGGGCCGACACGGTAGATTATTGGTATCCATGCGAGAACTGGGTAAACATGAATAGGGCAACCGGTTGTAAGGGAGCGCGTATCGCCCACGTCTGGGAGAAAGCTGGCATTACCCAATGAATTCATTGCCGTGAACCTCGCACCACACAAGAAAGCATTGTTTATGACAAAAAAACAATAGTGTTTAAAATAGGTTAATATAACATGTTGGCATACAATCGAGAGTGCACTATTTTCTATTTGTCGTATTACTATCGAATCAAAAGTGTCTAGCTGGCAGTGTTTAAACCACCTTTTTAAAAACAATTTCTTTTGAATTTTTATCAAGGAACATAAACGTTGCTTACATTATTATTCACGTGGACTTATGTATAATATTAAAGAAAAAATATAGGTAGGTATTACATACAATGTGCATCTTCAAAACATTTTATTAAGCATCGCAATGGCGTAACCGAAGCATTAGTTATGTTTTATCAATCAATATCGAGAGATTACCTATTCGAGCTGTTCCACTTACCTACATGCGTGTTTTGCTAGTTATCTACGATGCCTTATAATTTATGGCAAACATATACTGTGTTATTATTTTTATTACCAGAGATTTATAGACTATGTTTACGTTCTTTTAACTTCAAGTATCGTAGTAAAGTAATCGTTAGTTACGTCGAAAATATAGAACAGAACACAAAGATAGTGTATTTAGAAGAATTGTAGTGATTTAAAAAAAATATTTTTAATCAATATATTATGGTAATATATGAAAAAAACATTTTATTAAATTTGACCAACTTCTGCTGTTCCGATTTTTTCTTCCAAAACAATGAAACAATCCTTAATAGAACAGTCGATCAGCATTTAAAAAAATTGTCAATATAGACAACTCACGTTTGACCAACAATTTGACATAGTCAAAAAAAGACCTAATGGTTCCTAAGGTTAAGACAGCTTCCCTGCATCTCCTATGGTTTCGGAATTCCCTATACTGTCTCAGTTAAAAAAAAATCATCATTTTTCCATCATCGGGGGAATAGACGTAGGATGGGGTTCCATCCCTATGTTGGATAGACCAAAGATTCGCACGAAGCGTTACGCTTCCACGTTTATATGGCGAACGGCTATGGAGTGGAATTCCCTGCCTGCAGACTTGTTTCCCGAATGTTATAACTTGGACCTATCCAAGGCGAGAGTGAATAGGCATTATTTAGGTATGTATGCTCCATCGTCGACTTCATCGTCACTTTCCATCAGGTGAGATGGAAGTTTAATGCGCACTTATTTTTTAATAAAAAAAAATCTTACTGTATACACTCTAGGTACGCTAATTCTTGAAGATATTTATAGTAGTTTCTCTGTCACAAACAAAACTACAAGTTTACGTATTATGGATAGGCCACTATCGGCATTACCCCCATCGCTGACCATCATCATCATCAACCTATCGCAGTCCACTGCTGGATGGCCTCTCTTAATGCACGCCATTTCGTCCGGTTCTGTTTGTAGCATCCATTTGCTGCCAGCAGCCTTTCGCAAATTGTCACTCCTTCTGGGCAGAGGGCGTGTCGTGGTCTCCACTCTAGAACTCGCTTCCCTATAGATTTGGCCAGCTTGCCTATTCCACGAGCTATGACGACGGCCTTGGTTCTCTGTCGGATAACCTGATTTCATATCTTGCCCTTCAGAGAAACTCCACTTCACTGCCTTTCCGGATAATGTGGAAATTATATTACTAATTATTACTTACCAATGATCGAGTAAAACATGGTGACAGATCATGTCGGAGAATGTAAACAAAACTTTCAAAACTTGTAGAATCAATATACTTATCGTCGGCTAAATTGGAAAACCTCGTAACCCCGTTTTGAACGAAATTCCTTGTTTAACCGTTCAAGCGCAATATCGGGCAATTATATTAAAGCTTAAAATATTATTTGTAGAGTCTTAGTTGCTAAGGTAAATACTATTTATATCAATTAAATAAACAAATTTAAATAAATTAATCAATTACCATGGGCGTAGACTTGATAAATATGTAGTGCCACGAATATAATAATATGTATAATGACATGGGATTCTTGCGGGGAAGTCATTTAAGTAGTAAGCAAACAATCAAAGTAAAATTAAAAAGGCGCTATTAAATGATGAATTGAGTGTGTGCGTAATAACGCATTATATTATATGATGATTTTTATGAATAAATAAATTAAAAAAACTTACCAACTTTTTAGTAACATGATCGTGGCTTCCCGCACTTTGGCCTCCATTACTCATTCACTAGACACCGATAGTACAAGCAAACAGATACAGATGGTATTAGTCACACCGATGCTTGCAATCTTTAAGGTCTATGAAGTCTACTTACACTGAGTTTGCGAAACAGGACCCAGATTCAGAACTTTTCGATATTTTAATCGAATCGTTCGGTTGGATATCGCTCTCGAATCAAAGGATGCTTTCCGAGCTATTCAAAATGTTTGAGCTAAACGTTCGATTCGGATTCCGATACGATATTGTTATCCAACAGCGTTTACGGAGTTAGTCGGTGAAATAGATTACAAGAAAAATGAAAATCTTTTTATATACATTTTCACGACATTTAGGATTGCATTAGTCTTGCATTAAAATAAATTAATGAAATTGAACAAAATCCGTTCGATTCGGCTGTTGACAATAAAAATGAAAAGATATCTGAGTTTTCGTAAGGTTCTGAATCGACCCCCTGGGCCCGTAATACTCGAACATATAAACATAAATAAATATCTCTGGAGTTACATGACATTACAAGTTTTGAAAATAGAACAAGAGTGAGAAACACTTTTAAACTTCAAACCGCCATATCTCGAAAGTGACTGATGTGCATTGGATCCTTTTTGTTTAACTACGTCCAATTCCACGTCCTGTATTTATACATGGGTCTCCACGAATCTGCGAATTATCATTTCAAAATACTTTGTGATTTCATTATATCATACATCAGAGTTAGATCTTCAAACTCAAACTAAAATAATCTTTATTTCATATGTACGCAAAATACACTTCAAATAGTAATATTGAATAAACTCCACTGTTCATTCGTAAAGCCTATAAGAATGAGCAAGAAAGTCTAGGGGTTACTCTTTCTAATAAATATTTGTATACGGATTTTTATCACCCAATTTTATAACCTATCACAAAGTCGAATTTTTTTTTGTCCGAAATAACGTTTGTTCGACTCTTCATTACACTGAATTATAACGAAACAGTTGTTCTTTTAGGATATATTGTATGTTTATTGCAAAGACATGATTAGGTTCGGTTAGTTATATGTTAAGTTAGGTTTAAAAGAAAAAACATTTTCCTCTCAAAATTACTTTCGAGGTTATGAAATTTCGACTAAACGTAATTTCTGGCAAATGTCATTTCGGACTACTGATAGGTAACCGTAATATATAATTTTTAGTATAAAGTTCTTCGCCTTCTGGGTCACCGCCCAGAACGTTCAGAACAGTTGCTAATTAGAAGAGATCGTTTCCAAAATAGCTTCAAGTATCGAATTCTCAAGTCAAATTGTTTCTGAAACACAGCGAAACAGAGGGAATGGTATTTAATTAAATTTTCAACGGGAATTCTAGAAACTCACTGAAGGCAACAACGAGCATTCTTTCTAAAAGAGTACTAACGCTCTAAATCTAAAGTGTGAAGGTGAGAGGCTTGTTAGGAATGCAGGAACTATCAAGTATCAAGTTATAAAAGGAACCGCCAAAGCAATTGGTTCCACTCCGTGAATTCAATTCCATTCTCAACTGACCGATAATTCACTTAGAAACACTTTGATGTCTGCTTAGGCTACTTAAATTATGATATGATAATTGTGAAAAAATAATATGTAGCATAGGTTTTGGCTCGTGTATTTTGTTACGAAATAGGGTTCACAATTATCACAGTTTTTCGTAATTTATACTTTGATAGTTTTATTGTGATAATTATCCGATATGTACACACGATTTTTTTACATCGACATTTGACACACATTTGATACGTCTGTGATACAAACACATGGCACGATATTGATAGCGAGTGCATTAAGTTGCTCCAATTAATTTTATAAATATAGACACAATTATCAAGGTATATTTATTAGGATAATTTTCGTGATTATCATTGATAATTATCACGAAATCGAACTTTGTAAAGAAATAAAGTAAAAAGTGAAAGTTAAATCTGGAAAACTATTCACTTTACAAGATGTGTGTTTTGCATACGAACATTTAGTACGATGTATTTCAATGTTTTTGCCAGATAAAAATTGTTTTTAGTTGATCATTTAGTCCACACATACTTAAATTACGTAATTACACTAATGGAAAATAATATTTGCGTGCTGGTTGACTGGTCTGAACTCTTGAATGAGTTATTTGCGCGCAGTAATATATTAAATAGTAAAGGTCTAACTGGTTGTTCTATTTTTATGTTACCAATGCTATAATTAGCTATCCATCGTCAATACTCTATTGAGAGAGGTGTAAATGGCCTTTAAACAATCAACAACCAGTCCTGATATAGAGTATAAGCGTATTTTATATGGAACTAAATGGAAATAAATTTAGCTGTAAAATATAATTATACTTCGAGGGTGGTTTGATAAATACGTGTCTGGTTAAATAAAAACTTTTTCCGGAATTTATTTCTTAATTTCGAACTACTTATTAAGCAACTGATGCTATTTTTTAAAAATAGTGGCGAAATAAAAAAAAAAT